GTTTGAAGAGCTTCGCCTATGATCTGGTTCTTTTATAACCATTGCACCTACCCTTACAACATAACAGACTAGATAAATTCGTTCCCTTTCCAAATCACGTTTGCCCAAATCCTGCAAATTAAAAAATTAGTACCATATAGGGTATATATGCATATATAAACCATATCATATAGAGCTAATTAATTATTAGAAGAACAGAGCTTACGGTAAACATGACCCTTAAATTGTGAATTTGGTCAATGTCACTCATCAGGCCGTCTTTTGACCATCTGACTATGTAATATTCTGTGATGGGTTTGCACTCTTTTGCGAGACTTAAATATTGTGCAGCTACTGCCGCATAGTTTAAATCAACTTAAGCAGCATAGAAAGGCGTTTAAAATAATCGATAAGCCGAAGCAAAACAGAACAAGACAGTCACGTGATCACTTACCTCTTCACACGTTTCGAAGAGCGTTTTCACCTGCTTTAGGAAAAGCGGAAGTAGTATCCTACGACACTCCTCAATCTCAAACAGCTTGCTATGCACTATTTCATTGATAGTCATCATTTTCTGCTTAGTCAAACGATTAGGCGCAATGTTCTTCAGCATTTCACACAAGACGATACTAGCAAACAATAAAAACATTGTAGTAGGCTTTTAAAGTTTTCACTTCTTACCCTTATTTTAGAATTTGCAGAATCCAAGAGATATTTTTTAAAAAAAACCGACACTGACGTTTCGCCTCTTAGTTAATGTTTCTCAAGGTAGGTTCAAGAGTCACATAATTTATCGACTAAAACATATCTTAAAGCGAATCGTCTGGGTCAATTTTTTGGAAATAAACTATTCTTGTTCTTTTAAAAGGGAAGAAATTAATTGTAAATTGATAGTTTACTAATGAGATAACAATAACAAACCTTAATTTCTTAGCGTTGTAGACTTGCAATATATCTGGGATGGTGCTTGGGAAATATTTGAGACAGGCTCCCTGCTCACGCAACAGGGCGTCTGATGTTTGATACATCATCGTAACAATACTTTCGAGTAGTCCCCTGAATTCTTCTTCGAAATCGTCAGTGTCTTCTGGATAAATTTCCAAAAAAAGCAGTCGAGACCTTGATATAAACCGTATTATAAACTGCAAATATTTCATCGTCCGAAACAGATTGTTTTCTTTAGCATTAGTTACAATAGTGATAGCGTTGTCCACAAGATCTCGCATCACGGCCAATAATTTGCTACAAAAAATAATAATTTACAATTATAGCATAGCACACAGTGTCACTATGTATGTTGGGCAAATGTTGGGTTGCCTACATGTAACACTATTAAATAAAACAGGAAAATGCAGAAAGGTTAAAGCCTTTCAAAGTCATAAAAAGAAAATATTTTCAAGTAGAAACGTCTTTCCAGACTGCTCTATTGTGGCCTACCGTTTTCTGCAGCTAGAAGAGTGAATTTTTTCACCTAAAGAAGAGATATTTTTTCACTTCTATTGAGAGAACAAGGAACAGTTTCGAAGAAAAAATTTTAAAAACTTCAGCAATATTCACCTGTAAGCCAACGTGGCGCTGAAGCTATTCTTGATGTATAAGTCAAGAACTGGTTCAAAGTGTTGATATTTCCAATCATTGCTTACTAAACCAATTATGAACAATAGACATTCAAAGACCATGGCATCATACTCTTTACTGTCTGGATTATCCATCAATATGTTAAACAGAGCGTCCAGGACGTCTTGTAAAAATTTGACCACTTCTTCACCGTCCACATACATTAAAGCTGATAAGGATTCTGCCAAGGTATCCTTGTGATTAGCCCAGTTTAACAAACCGAGCAAATTGACTACAAAACAAAAAACAAATAAGGAACTTGACCACAAAAAAAATTAGCAAATCATCGATTATTTTCTTAGTTTTAGCACACATATGAAATTTTTTATTTATTTTTATGGAGTTATTCACATACCATTTTGGGTCAACTTTGTAGAACAAATATTACTACCAATAACAAAACTGTCTTTGGTACTGACACTAAGCCCTGGCACTTGAGGTTTCGCCCCGTTTTCCAACTCATCCACGGTTGATGGTAATTTAAAATACTCGGTACCATTCTCAACAAACTTTTTGTGATCAATCTTGTAAACAATCAAATTATGTTTCTGGTCTTTTAGCGTCGTCCCGTTTTCTTGCATGAGTCTAACGTACGCTAATCCAAACGGCTTTTCGCACTTGTCTTTCGCCTCGTTAGATGACCGATGTTTGAACATGAACTTGAGATGACTGCTTCGGAATTCTTCGATCGGAATCGAAACCTTGAATGTCTCATACCATTGCGGTTTGTCTTCGTGATAGTAAACGACAGATTTGTAGTCGTTCAGAAGCGGAATTCCGCTACCGGCAGATATAACACCCGGTATGCATTCGCCATTCTCATTACAAACTGTTACAGTGACTTCTACATTTTTATCGCTCGCTTTGTTATATTTACTGAATTCTCCGTTTATCAGAGTGAGATAAAGATCGTTTCGAACGTCACCTGGTAAAATTACTTCGGGAAACCCCATTTTACGAGCTATCGGAACTCCGCCTAACATCAAATGGGGGTTTTCTTCCCTCACCTAAAACAAGCAGAACTGTTTATTCAAAGCTACAAACTACTGGGATATTAATTATCTTTGCCTGCCATATTTACAACATTTTCTATTTTCATTTTACTTTTACTAAGAAATTCAATATTATTTACTTGATTTATATCGCCATGCAAAAGCATGAAGGAGACAATAAGGGCAGGAGTTTTGTTATCATTTTTAATATAATCCTTGTTTGTTATCTTCTTAAGAGTCTGTTCCAAATTGTCCTTTTCGCAACTATGAAAAAATACAGTTAAATAGAAATGAAAAAAAAAATATATATTTATGAATATGATCCCTTACTTGTAAAATGGAACCGAAAATTCACGATCTAGATCCAACTCGTCTGATTTGCTTAAAAACATGGTTATATCTTTGGCTGCGACCCCAAAAGGTCTCCTTATACTCCTGTTTGTGCCATCTTTTAGGATCACAGGGTTTGAAGAGCTTCGCCTATGATCTGGTTCTTTTATAACCATTGCACCTACCCTTACAACATAACAGACTAGATAAATTCGTTCCCTTTCCAAATCACGTTTGCCCAAATCCTGCAAATTAAAAAATTAGTACCATATAGGGTATATATGCATATATAAACCATATCATATAGAGCTAATTAATTATTAGAAGAACAGAGCTTACGGTAAACATGACCCTTAAATTGTGAATTTGGTCAATGTCACTCATCAGGCCGTCTTTTGACCATCTGACTATGTAATATTCTGTGATGGGTTTGCACTCTTTTGCGTCATACAGGGTCATGAGTAACTGGGCGTCTTCAGTCATTTTACATGTGAAATGCTTTACAGAAACTACAAATATATGCGAATACTGTTGAAGGGCCGTTTTCACGGGACTTGTACGAGTTTCAGTCTAAAACAAGATATTGAAATATTACAGTTTCCTTTATGTATCACTAAAGAAATGTATAGTGAAGTAAATGATAGCACAGTATACAAACTGGTGTATTCAACAAAAAACTCATACGCAGTTAGCATACAGTTCTTGCTTTCTGGAGAAAATAAACTGCTATACCTTTTCTCTTGTATCTCTAATATTTTCTGCAGCATTTTTGTGCAGAAAGTATAACTGCAGAGTACTGGTTCCTTCTGGATTAATAATATATCCATCCTTATCCCTAACTATCATATCTAAACCTAATATTTTATTGCCTATATCAATTTCTGTTGTCACTTGTTTTGTTAACTTTTTTAATTCATCTATAGGCAGGGTACTACTTATTATTTTACCCCTGTGCGTTATTAAATCATACATTTGAGTTTTGATCTGTTCAAAATCCTGGCTGTTTATCTACAAAGCAAAAGAATGTTTTTTATTGTCAGATGAAATAAGTGGTAGGTACTAGAAGTAAGTATATTTACCACAAAAAGGTACTTCCAGTGGGGCATCCATTCTCTCAGGGTTGTAGTAATTTCATTCACTATTGCTGGATATTGAGGAATGAATACTAAAGTTGGACCTGTTCTGTCTATTGTACAATCCACTAAATGTACAAAATTTTTTGGAAATATCCCTTTGGCATTCCTATTTGACAGTGCATACCCATAATACCAATTTTCTTCTTCGTTTAATAAATGGACTGACTCTCCAACATTTAAACTTAATTTGTAACGGTCTTCAGATGCAAAATTGTAGATGACTAAAACATTATATGTAAAAAAAATCAATCTAAAGTTTTATTGTGTCATACATTTGCATATCAGAAATGCAATTCCATTTTTAGTATACATGGGGTTATAAAAAAAGTAAATCATAAAGGTAAAAATTAAAATTAATTGTTAATTTCAATAAAACAAAAAAAGAGGTACATATTATCATCTTTTAAAGTAAAATTTAAATTCTACATTTCCAGCTCTGTTTTCAAGGAGAAATCAATAAAAACGTTATTTTTTTGATTTAAAAATAATAACAGGAATTGTATTTAAATATGCAAAACATCTAATTTGCCATATATGAATAACCTGATATAAACTAGTGTAAATAAAAATTTATTTACATAAAAGCCAGACTATTTAGGATGATATTTTATATCTAGTCTAAATTTGTTTAGGATAATAATATGTACATCAAATGATATTCAACTTTAGTAGATCATTACATTCATTTACAAGAATAACAAGAAGGGTCACCTACATATTTGACCCTGTTTGTTTAATGAAACTGATTCAATTTGAACCACTGTCATGACAAATTATATAAAGTATTTAAATACATCAATTAATTAATAAAAAATCTGTTACTGAAACTGTAGAGGCAAAATGAGGTGTCAAGTTGAAGGTTCATGTATTATATACCTAACAACTAATCGTAGGTAGTTTTTAATATTCAAAAAGAATATCAAACAATCAAAAATTGAATGGGTAATTAGTATTAACTTATTGTTATTAACACTCCTTTTGTAGAAGGTTGGAATACACAATACAATTAATAAAAGTGTCACAAGTTTATGTAGGTAGGTAAATAGTTCATGGGCATTTAATACCTGGTGTTGTACTTCAAATTTACATATTATCTCGTCATCTTTCAAGATATGGTACCTTAATTTTTTTAAGTTAAAAAACTACCATACAATTTCCACATGATCAAAATATACCTAATGAATCATTTAAATATTAAAACTACATGCAAAAAATGATTCATCAATACGTTCCAATAAAATAAACTAAATATCTGGAGAACAATAACCAGTAAAAACAGATAAAAAGGTTGTAAAGTGCAAAAAATTACATAACTCGTTACGTCCCGAAAGTAATTAAACTTGATCTGTCCAGGAGATAAAGTACAGTACATGCAAATTTAAAATGAAAATACATAAACAATAATAAAACCTACTTATTCCATAGCATCTATTTTCAGGAACGGTTTGCCACTCGCTCATCTTTCTGCTTTTAGTAAACTGACATCACAAATTAAAACAATAAACAAAACCAAAGCCATTCAACAACAGCCATGTTCTTATAAACACCACATTCACTCATTTACTGTCTGTTGCTGCTGCACTTAATTGTCATTTACGATAATGACATCATTTATCATTATCATCACACTATCACATTCTTTTCTAATTACACATTACGTAAAGTTTTCATTAATGGACATTACATTAGTTTCGTTTATACCAACCAGATGTCACTGAAATACAATATTAAATCCTATTGAACTACAACATTTGTGGAATCCTCCTGAATAAAAACTATTAAAACCAAAAAGAAAAATGCATTGAACATGATTACCACTTTAACGGACGTATTAAGACAAATGTTAAGTATTTGTTAACGTTAACACATATAAAAGTAATAATAAGTGTTTTCCTATATAAAACCAAATAATGTTTCTTTAAGTGCACTTATGATAATCTTTTGTAAAGTTTATATTGGCAAATACAGCAAAACCTACACTGAATTGTATCAAACTATCAATACCTTAGTTTGGTGTTCTTGTTACATTAATTATCTTTATAGTAATTTAACTAAATTGTGTTTTTTATAATTCTATATAATTTTATCGTATCTTTTCTATTTTATCCAAGAAAACAGTCGCTGATCTTTTAAATAACGGGTTGGGTAATGGAAAAAGTTTTAAGTAAATACTTGTACATATTTTAAGATATTTATTTCAAAACTTTTGTGGAAGTCCATTGCCCTACAATTTTTTTGTCTCATGCTGATCATCTATGCTGCTTGAAATTAACGCAATGCATATTCATGTCTTACCAAATTTTGGTGGTGAACGGTTTAGAGTGGCTGATCGGAAATAAATGAAAGCAAATCAAAAACCCTGGAAAATTTCGCGCGCTTTATATAATTTGTACTTTTTGTAAAATGCGCGTTTTTGTTTTTTAAAAAAAAGTCCCAAAAGTTCACCAGTTAATACTCTTTCAAAACAAATAATTACAATACTAGACTAAATCAAGAAACCAGTTTGATACCAAAGCCTCTAATTAAATAAACGCAGTTATAAAAATCGAAGATGCAAAAAGTATTTAATTGAAAAGAAAGCAACTTTATATACATTATACACTTTTTTTTGTGTCTATCAGAAATTATTGTTTTGAAATAGGGAGACTGGGAACTAACAGAGACCCGCTTTTGGAAAAATTAAATGCCAGAGGTAGTAGATCAATTGAAAAATTTCCCAGAGAACAGAAATATGCATTGCACGGTGCTTTCCGCATTTTCACTGTCGTTAAAATTAGTCACAAGTATCACTAATTTACTAAAAATTCTACGTTAGATGAAACCAAAGAAACTAATCACGCACTTTCACTGACTTCACTCGCTCCAATCCCAAAATAGGTACATAGTACTCCCTATATGTCTTTCTGTTTCGTTATTTTCCGCAATAAGCACTGGTCTCTCTATCTTTCTCGTTGACGAAGAAGGGTAGTCAGTTGGCAGGAGAGTTGTAGTCCTCCCAGGATAGAAAATTATCCACTGATTGGCAAAGTTCCGTCCATCACTCGTTCTCATAGCACATCGGCAGCATTTTCTATATAAACCATTCATAACATCATCATCATCATATTTCTATTATACTATAATTACATCATCATCATCATCATCTCTCATCTTCTAACGTCTTCAGAATTTAATCATACATAATTTTTTTTATAAAATTTATATTCACAGTTATCGAGGACAACGTTTATGTAAAAAATACCGCAACTTTCTCTCCTTAAAATAATGCACTTATTATATTTATAAAAGAATCCTAAGTAGATAATAAATCGGTCCGGGAGGATGGAGAGGGCACACGGTGCCGTTTTTCGGCACCCCGGACACTCACCACGCTCCCCTCTCGACTCTAATACAAGCTAAAAAAACAAAAGAGAAACTAAATTCATCCATAAACAAATTTACAAACAGCTGACCTAGAAGTATGCATGTAATAACTGTCTACATACACAAAAAACATGTCTCTATTTGTTTGTTCCTTTTTCTTGTAAAATAATCATAACTAATTAATAGGTAATGAAAAATATCCAATTAGTAACAGTTCGCGTTATTCTGAAACAACAGACACCACGACGTTCGTTTTTATTTAGTTGCTGGATCTCCACGACGCCGGAACAACAGCAACCGTGCATACGGGGGAGCTCCCAATTGTCCTAAAGCCCGTCATTCCTGTCCGTGGTCTACTGTTTCCGATACGCAAAATAAATGTATATGTATGTATATTAATGTATTTTGTACACGATGCACACGTTTCATTCTGAAATCCCTCCTCTCCTCGTAACAAGGCTCTCAACATCATCATCAACTGATTAATTGCAATTAGCTATATTTGTTTGTTTGTTTGTTTGTTACACGTTCAATGATCGATGGTGTGTTTTCAATGTGGGTGTGTGTATTGATGAAAAAGGGCATTAGGGTGGGGGCGAAGGGCGGGGGGGGGGTAAGGGAGATCGGATAATAATCGAAAAGTAAAAGTGTTCGTTATTTAAATATTTACAAGTCTGCCGTCGTCATTAGCGAATATATATATATAGAAAAATAAGGACTATACATATATATGTATGTATATGCAACTATTATTTATTTATTTATTTCTTATTATGAGTGTGATAAAATCTGGCACAACGGAAAAATGATGATTTCAAAATGAAGGTGACCAAACACGAATGAAAATGAAAAGGAAGTTAAAAATGGTAGACGTTAAAGAAAAGAATATACAGGTATAAAACGATAATTAGAAGAGGGACGAGGACATTTTTTTTCCTGTGTATAATGTGTATTTATGTTACTTGGATGTGTGATGTTAAATTTATTTTATTTTCCAATCGTAACCAATTGAGTCATCCACTCACTAAATGGCGATATGTATTTTAATAACGTTTCTCCCATGACGAAAATTAATTATTATTATAATAATTGGAAAATGAGCATACTCCTTGTGTTACACTTTTTAGTTTAGTTTGTTTGTTTGTTTGTTGCTGATGTTCGTTCAATCCTTACTATACTGTTTTATTTTTGTGTTAATAATATTTATATATTTCATATTTGCTCTTGTTATTTTATTATCTCGTTGAAGAAGAAGAGAGTCCAACAATAGCAGCAGTAGCTTTTTTGTAAATATATTTTTTTGTTTTTGTTAAACGTTTTGTCGTTAGTGCACCTCCGATGGTTCTGGCTTTGGTGCATGGTGATTAGTCGGATCCGGTGTACTTATTGGCTGAAAACAGAACCATTAATTAATTAACAGTTAATTAAAATTATAATTATTTTTTTTACCTGGAAACTGATGGATTTAAAGGAAAGTAAGAAGTTTTCTCAAATATAAAAAAAGTAAATTTTATTTTCAAGAAATTAATAACTATAAGTAAATGGTACATTTCTTTATTAAATTACAGATATAGAGAATAAAATACCATTAAAAAAAAACTGAAAGATCATGTGCGAATGAATTTCTTATCGAAGGAAATTTTTCAAATACAAAATTCTAAAGAATAATTGTTAATATAATAGGCAGTGGATATTGTGAACAGTATACTAATCATGTTGGGCCACCGTATACTGTAAACAAACTCAACCTTCGCTTATAGAAACGAATATCCAATAGCCTTAAAAATTTAAAAAACTTTCCCAAATGTTTTAAGCAACTTAAAATTTTCAGTGTCAGTGTGTGATATGTATATATGAATGAATTATTCTAAACGTTTACCTATCGACCCGAAGATAAATTCTACAATATTTACGATTATTTATTAGAGAATTGTAGAATTTGGGATGAGGAATTGAAAAATGTTTAAAACTATGATTATAAAGAATATATATTTGCCAAAAATCGAATAAACATAGTTTATCATACGAAATACATTTTTTAACGTTTTCGGCTTTCTGTCAGACTTCGTAAAAAAGAGCCCTTGGACGGCCAAAGTCATCACCTTTTTAAACTGCACGTTTAATTCGTGTGGACCGCCTCCTAAAAATTACAAGCATTCAACTGGCCCGTGTCATTTTGGCATTTCGTCAATTGTTAAAATCGATCTATTATACACTGGCAATGGGTTAGACGACCGTTTTTCGAATTTAATTTGAATATCAATCAAGCGGGAGTTCACTATTCGATTATTTATTAGAACGAGCAAAGATAAGGTCATGATTTTGATTTGATAAAATTATCACACAACAGTGACCATTTATTCCTAGTATAAATTATTAAGACATTTCTAACTAATTTTAAGTACATCTATTTATAAAAAAAAAAAAGGAAACAAATTATGTACCCTTCCGAAATGTAAAAACGATAAAAAAATTATATTACAATAATGAATGATACGAACGAAAATTAGCAAAAACCAAAAATGTCATGATAAAATAAGTTTGAGATGACTTACTAGGTGTGGTGGAATAACAGGTCCTGCAGGTGGTTGTGGTTGAGGCGTGGGGGGCGCAGCGCTTGGTGCTACGGTGTGTGGTACCTCGTGGGGTGTTGTAGAGTGTGCCTGCTGAACAGGAAGTGCACCACCTTGGTAATACCCGCCATTCACGCCTGCTGGTGAAACTAAGCAAAGAGTTTTATTCAAAATTAGTTAGTTGTACTAATCATAAACATTTAGTAAATCAATAAGCAAATTTTAAAATAGGTATAAATTAAGTCATGCGCAAAGTTAATAGAAAAACATTCTTTTGCAGTTTTGTGTTATCACAACTCGATAAATAGTTTTGTGTCATAAAAATATCGTAACTGTCGTTAAGATTAAAATGTGTCTCGCTGAACTTGTAGCATTTTTTCGTAGGAATAATACGGGGCAAGTTAATATCATTGAAATTGTTCTTATTTTGCTGAATTTGGTATTGGAAAAGTTTACTACTGTCTAAAAGAATTTTCAGATATATGTAGAATGTTTACGTGCTAAAAGTCAATCAATATTTTGAACATTAAAGAAATACATATCTAGGAAGCTATTGAGATTAGAGTAAGGGCATTGAGACAATTTATTTTTATTTTTTTAATTTCAAAACTATAGTTCACAGAGTCGACCTTATGAGATAATTTGCAAAATGACCATTAGAAAGAAAACTTTCCCAAAATAAAACTCAGTAGTTCAGTTATTCTTAGTTAATCTACTTTTCTACTTTTAGTTGATCTATTGATTAGTTAGTTAATCTTTGAATTAAAAGATCATCTTTGTGGATAAGTTTCTTAGATGTAATTCAACTATCTATCGAGTTCTGCACATTTTGATAGATGGCGTACCCCTAACCGCCAGAAAGGCAAAATAGTTACCTGTACCTTCTGGGTAGGGAGCTCCTGAGCCCATGAAATACTCTTTGTTGACGCAATTGCGTAGGCACTCGGGAATTCGACCCATGATGGCGCGTCTAATTTCCGATGCTGCCATCTCCCGTAGCTCGGTTGCAGATGCGTCGCTGTAGAAGGCGGCGTGAGGTGTCACTAGTAAATTGGGCGCATCTTTCAGGGGACCCGTGAACGCGTTGTAGGGCTCGTTTTCGTGTACGTCGAGCGCCGCCGCCCTTATCCTACCCTGTTTCAGAGCCGTGGCCAAAGCCTCGTCGTCCACGAGACCACCTCGGGCCGTGTTTACCAGAAATGCCCCCGGTCGCATCTGTTTGATAGTGTACTCGTTGATCAGGTGATGGTTGTGCTCGTTAAGGGTGCAATGTAACGAGACGCAATCAGACTGCAAAACAAAAAACCTTGAGAAGTGAGTAAAAAGGGGAGAGGTTCGTTTGTGTTACCTGGAAAAGCAAATCTTGTAGTGTGTAAACCCTGGTCAGTCCCAAGCTCTTTTCGATCCCGTCGGGGAGGTACGGGTCGTAGAAAATGACGTTAAATCCGAACGCTTTCGCGCGCAACGCGACAGCCGACCCTATACGACCCAAGCCGACAATGCCGAGCGTGTCGCCACGGATGCGTGCGCACCCCTGCGCCGCCTCGCGCACTTGTTCAGGTCCCGTGAACTTTTTGCCCTCGCGCACCATGTTCGCGAGCCAATACGTGCGCCTGTATAGGTTGAGTATGAGACAGAGCGTGGTATCGGCGACCTCCTCGACCCCGTAGCCGGGCACGTTGCACACCGCGATGCCCAGCTCGCCCGCCGCTTTCACATCGATATTATCGACGCCCGATCCGATGCGTACTATGATACGTAACGTCTTGAACTTTTCGAGATCCTCCTTCGTCAGGATGATCGTGTGCCACATGAGCGCACCCACGGCCTCGTTCAGCACTTTCTCGTGGATCTCGCTGGTACTTTGGGCGTCGCAGAACGCGACCGTCGCGACGTCCTTCAGTATCGGCATCTCGATGGAGCAGTCGCGGCCGTCCAGTAGGGCTACCAGCGGTCGCGTCTGCATCGGCCCATTTGTTATGGGACCACCGCGAACGTTATCTATACGAGGCCTTTTCGCCATCATTTTACGTTTGTCCATTGGCAGCTGCACGACCGCGTAAGAAATGGACGATGACCGAGGGCAAACGAATGACGAAAAACATACACGCGTGTAGAGCACGCACTATTCTTGTATACCTCTCTTCTTCCTCTTATCACAATTATTTAATGGTCAACTTTCTTTTCTTTCTTTGCACGGCACGCACACACACCAACACCAACTAACCACCGCACGCACCACTTCTTCCTTCCTCCTTCCACCTCCCTGTCGAAGAAGCAGCAGTAGCAGTAGCAGCAGAAGTCTTCCTCCCTGCGATCTCCTATCCGTGGTCCTAGGTCGTTTAGGTCAAAAAGTCGTTTAGGTCAAAAATAACAATCCATGTCTCTCATGTTGCACCGACGCATTGAAAATCATCAAGACCACTTCTCTGTAAATAAAACGAACAATTTTAAGTACCATTTATTTATTACGAGTAGGAATAAATATAAATTGTTATCTAATATGTCCACTACCATTTCCTGGTCGGAAAAACCTGCTCAAATAACGAATCGAAAGTGAAATAACGAAAATAAAGGGAATTTTTACACCTTAAGGTTATTCAATTGTCAAAACACTAATCTGCGTAAAAGGTTAAACAGTAAATAAAAGTAAATTAACATTTTAAAGAACGATCAAAATATTCCACGTTGAAGTATTTTGCTTCGAACGAGAATTTAAATATGTAAGTATGCGTAGAATACTGTGGTCATTAACATCAGGTAAACAAAATAAATTACACTGTTTATAGTTAACGATTTGTTAATTGCCAGAAAGTTTTTTTATATCACAACAAGTCGCACTTCCCATGCACACAGAGTGGAAAAAATTATTCATATTAAAATCGCAGAAACATTCTTAACAATTAAACCGAAATAAACTAAAAATTAAAAAAATACAACAAGTAATAAAGACGTACATTATATATTTATGCGGTAATATAGGATGTACAAATTACTTTGTTAATTACCTAATTAGCAATTAACTAATCGTAAAAGTAGATGAAATTTGCAGTAGAAAACGTTTAAAACATTTTTCGAAATGTCGCAGATTTCATACAAGAGCGGCAAGGTCTATCGTCAGCCGCAACGCAACAACGTAACGTAGCGTCGTGGCGACGGCGTCGACATCGTCCGGATGAGATGCCGCGTTAATCAGATATCCCGGGAAATTGCTTGCTCTCGAGCAAGAGCGGCCGACTGCTCTAACATCCTTTCCGAGGAGAGAAGAACGGGACGTACCAAAGGTTACGCCATCGATTAAGCTTCAACGAGGACGGAATTTCGAAACTCTCGCCCTTACGCAAAGACGAACATTAATTGATATGCATATGAAAATCCATTACTTTATTAATAATAAAACCGGATTTTTGCACACGACTTACGCAAACCCCCCATAATATGAACAGCACATTAATTACGTTAGGTATCGAACAAACCAAACGTTCGCTTATAGAAACAAATGTCGATTGAGCTTAAAAATCGATATGTAGCTGTTACATATGGTATTTCCCGAGAACATTTTAGGTGAATACAACTATATTTAACGTATTCCGATGTTTCGCCTCTCAATTGTGTGCGTTTTCAAGGAGTAAGGGCGTGTAACTTTAAACAAAGGAGGAGTGAATTCTAAGATATTCTTAAAAATATTGTTTTACTTCTGTTGTAAATAAACAATTTCCATGAAGAAGCCACAATCAGGGGACGAAACGTAGGAATTTGTTAAATGTAATTTTATTTATATGAAATTTTATCGTTCTAAGTGAGTACGCGTCTACACGATAATGCCGATGTGGTCGTATGGCACGCCTATGTGTGTATGTACGTTTATAAATGTGTGTTGTGGAGCACGAGCCACATCACAATGTGGATTCGAAACTTTCCAAGTCTGACTTTGAACTTTCCGGAGCTATTACGAGCAATCTCATCATCATCTCCGAGCGTCGGTCGGACGGCGGAGGCGGCGGCGGCTCCCGCAACAGCGCGGAGCCGTCGCGCAGCTACAATTAAAACTTTGACATTAATACTTGATTCAATTAAAGCCGAAGAACGCAGAATTTCGGAAGTTTGCAGTTAAAATGGAAAAGTTTTCGGAAAACATTCCCGACCGCCAAGCGATGCAAGATTAAGCGCGACAAAACGGCGAAAAGTAGCACAAAACCATTTGTCGTTCGAAAAGTGATCCTCTTTACAATGCTACACGATAACGTCAACTGTAAAGATTTAATTTTATTATTCACATTTTTATAATTAACTCTGACTGATCAGCTTGTGAAAGTTATGCAACTCGATATACACAACGCGGCTGTAATATTTACAGCGATAGTCAGATCAACCCATAGGGTTTCACGCTTACGATTATTTAATTAATTAGTTAATTGTGGGAAGAAGAAAGTAAATCATTAGAAGATAGAGTAGTAGAATGAAGATTCGGACTATAGGGCCGTGGTCTAAGTGAACTATTCCGTCCAGACGTTTCGTCAGCTACCGCGGCTGATCCAGTCGCTGTCGAGACTTCGAGATATAATTTACGTTCACGTTGTCAACGCCGCACTACCACTGAGGATGTCAGCCGCAGTAGCTGACGAAACGTCTAGACACAATAGTTCACTTAGACCACGGCGCTATAGCCCGAATCTTCATTCTACTATGGATTCCAGCAGTGAAAGCCTTTTATTCTTATAGAAGATAGGGTGTTATGTGTTGGTAGAGCACCTTAGACATGAAGGGCTGGGGTAGTTAGAGACATTTTAGAAACAGAAACAAGAGTTCTATGTAATGTAAAGTACTCGATACTATCCTAATTCGGTTGGAGTTGCTTCCTAACGTTTCGCGAACTTCTTCAAAGGTCCAGGTCCTTCCATTTCCGATGATGAATGCGAACTGAAAAAACGTTAGGAAAAAACTCCAACCGACGACAGCCTTTAGACTCGAATCATTAAACGTAGGTTTTCAATGAATTTCAAGAATTGTTTTCAAAGTTTTTAGTTTTAAATACGGCCCTGTTCAATGTTTCAGTTTTCGACGATCGCGTGAATAGTACGTGATTGGGATTATACTCGGTCCATCTTGAAAGTAAAACGATTTCTAGTGGATTATCGTATCAAAAGTTCGTAGTAATATAAAATTCCATCGTTCACACATATGCACCCGTTGTATGTACGCAAACATGGGGTGGGTATATGGCTCAGGTTAACTTGTAGACAGGAAAACCAACAGCCAACTTTGTTGTTCTATTAAAACTTCGAAAGTTATCAGGGAGATGTGCCGGTAAATTTTCCGGAATATTAAACCCGAAACGTAGCCGGCAAGAGATGAGTGGGCGGCGGCGGCGACGGATGAATAGTGCCCAGGGCGCGGAGGGGGTGGATGGAACACGAGAGGGGGCGAAAGTACTGGATCGTCCGGGCGCTGATAATTTATTAAAACGGCCCAAAGTTCAACGCCGACAAAACGAACATATTCCGAAACAGTATTTCAACTTTAGCAAACCAAACATCGCGCGATGGTTGCCAAGTTGGCCCGTTCCGACCGAGTTCGAATTAGTTTAGCGGTAGTTGTCCGAAGTGGCGAGGAGGAGGGTTGAAACGACGGGGGGGGAGAGGTGGGGGGAGGCCGGAGGCCAAGAAGTGTTTCGTACCGCGCCTACGATGCGACGCACTCCCTGTGCATGTATGTACGGCACCAACAGTCCGCCGCCGCCGTTTTCAACTTAGTTTAACGACATTTATCTTTGTTTTGTTGCGTTATGAAGGGAATAGGGAGTCACAGCCAACTTCGCCTCTCTCTCCCGCTGAACTAAATAACAAAGTTTTGGATACCAAGGATACAGGGTGGTTCAATATCACGCACGTTACTGGTTTGATTTAGATGTTACGTGTCATTCGATCGACAAATGCCAAATTGATGACAGAGCACATTATTGTTCTTCTATGTTTCCCCTTAAGCCTCCCTCTCCCTCTAATAACTTATCCAATGACAAAAAAATAGAAAGCGGGCAAGTGAGTAAAGGCCACATAAGTAGGCATGTATGTTTCTTTTTGAACTTCTCCTTCAAAAGGGGCATGAGTGCAACTAAGAAAAATCTATGTAACTATGCATCTTAATTTCATCGTGAACACTCTCCTTCCAAAATTTCCTCAACTTCTACGAAGGGAAAGAGAGCAAGCAAAGAGGGAATGCCTTATAGTTATATTTGTACGTTCCATCTTGAATCCGCCTCTCAATGATTTCCTCAAAATTCAAAAAAGGAAAGACTGCATCCGAGGAAGGGCCATACTACTAACCTTCCAAGATTCATACTGAACACCCTCCGTCTAAAATGTCCTCAACTGCTACGAAGGGGAGGACGACAACTACAGGAATGCCATACAGCTATACCTTTGCTCTGTCTTGAATCAGCCTCTCAATGATTTCCTCAAAATTCAAAAAAGGAAAGAGTGCATCCGAGGAAGGGCCATACTACTAACCTTCCAAGAGTCATACTGAACACCCTCCGTCTAAAATGTCCTCAACTGCTACGAAGGGGAGGACGACAACTGCAGGAATGCCATACAGCTATACCTTTGCTCTATCTCGAATTCGCCTCTCAATGATTTCCTCAAAATTCAAAAAAGGAAAGAGTGCATCCGAGGAAGGGCCATACTACTAAGCTTCCAAGAGTCATACTGAACACTCTCCGTCTAAAATGTCCTCAACTGCTACGAAGGGGAAGACAACAACTGAAGGAATGCCATATAGCTATACCTTTTCTATGTCTTGAATCCGCCTCTCAATGATTTCCTTAAAATTCAAGACAGGGAAGAGTGCAACCGAGGAAGGGCCATATTACTAAGCTTTCAAGATTCATACTGAACACCCTCCGCCTAAAATTTCCTCAAGTACTACGAAGAGGAGGATGACAGCTGAAGGAATGCCATATAGCTATATCTTTGCTCTGTCTCGAATCCACCTCTCAATGATTTCCTTAAAATTCAAGAAAGGGAAGAGTGCATCCGAGGAAAGGCCATACTACTAATCTTCCAAGATTCATACCGAACACCCTCAGCCTAAAATGTCCTCAACTGCTATACCGTTGTTCTGTCTTGAATCCGCCTCTCAATGATTTCCTTAAAATTCAAGACAGGGAAGAGTGCATCTGGGGAAGGGCCATATTACTAAGCTTTCAAGATTCATACGGAACACCCTCCGTCTAAAATTTCCTCGGGGAAAAGTGCACCCGAGGAAGGGCCATATTATTAAGCTTTCAAGATTCATACTGAACACCCTCCGCCTAAAATTTCCTCAATTGCTACGAAGAGGAAGACGACAACTGTAGGAATGCCATATAGCTATACCTTTTCTCTGTCTTGAATCAGCCTCTCAATGATTTCCTCAAAATTTATGAAGGGGA